GTTTTTTTTTGTGTGTGTGATAAATCTGGCAGCAAGTCCTTCACGCATAACCGATCAGATTCTGAGCCATTCCTGCTTTCTCTGTGCCAGATATAAATTTACAACTAGCCTTGTGAAAGGGAGAGACACTATGTATTATGTGGTGAGAAAAAGTTGGAAGCTACCAGCCAGTCAGACAGCACCTCACTACCTCAGAGCCGTGAGCAAGTTTGAGGGCCACAGAAAATACGTGTGGGTGAAGCGAATTACACAAATTAGCCTCTCCCGATCCACTGCATCAGCATATTTCTACACTAAATCAACTGACTAAAAAATAGATTGTTGGATGCACAAATAGGATTGCGTTGCTTGTTGATTCTGCAGCTAAAGCCAGCCTGAATGCAGGAACGCATCACGATTCAGACGGTCCGTTAATCAGACGGGTGGATTCGCCAGTCGAGAATGTGGATGGATCAAGGAAGGAGGTGAAGGGGGGGCTGACCTGGGTGGGGAAGTATCGGATGACGTTGGCCTGGTTCCCACGCCAGAGCGCGGCGGCGCCCTCCTCGCGGAGGACGCGGGCGAAGGCGTCGGCGATGCCCCGGTAGGGCCGCGTGAGGGCGCCCCGGCGCAGCATCTCGGCCTGGTTCTGCAGCAGCAGCTTGACGCGCTCCACCGGCGCCGCCCCCGTCTTGGCCACCACCGCCGCGGCGCCGCCCATGGCAAAGTCCGCGGCGACCATGGAGGGCGACCTGAGGCGATGCGGGGGCGGGTGGCGGGCGTCGGCGCCGTCCTTCCTCGTGGCCGCGGCGGCGGCGGCCATTGGTGGCGGAGCGGCGCCGCGGGAGAGAGTTGGTGGCGGTGCGCGGCGTGGGGGATTTCCATGGGCTCAATTTTTTTGTGATTATAATCAAAGGCCGGGACGAAGAAAAGAACAAAACGAAGCTCACCTGTAGTTAACTGGGCCTTCTTCTATGTGGGCTTCAGGGCTTTGAGAGAGAGTGATGGCGGCCGAAAGACGATGGGTTCCCTAGAAGAGAAATGGGATGCATGAGAGAGAGAAAGAGATGATCCTCAAAAAAAAGAGAGAGAGAAAGAGATAGTGGGAATTTTTTAACAGATGTAAATACACCGATGCTGCCTGAACTTGTTATTGATGTTCACTTTAGTGCCTAAACTTGAAAAGTACGCCGAACTAGTTTTAAAACTTGACATAAACGTGCAAATACGGTGCTAATTCTGCCCGCAGACGTAAAGTGCGTCCACGTGGCATTGACATGGCGTGGGGCCCACTGGTAGGTATAAAACGGAATTACTTGAGTACTATATATGACCCTATGACTAGTGGGCCCGCCTGTGAGTAATTAGTAAGAAAATTAACATAAAAATGTACTAGACAGGCATCAAACCTGCAACCTGACGCTTGGGGAAAATTTCACTCATCATTCCACCAAACATATTTCCATGTCAACGTCAGCCCCTCATACTTAATGTATTTGAACCGAAAACTCATGTATAGATAAATGGGTTGCAGCATGTGGCCCATTTAACGCACGTTATTTTTTAATGTAAAAAGTATGTCAATAATAATAAAATCTAGATTTGATTTTCATGTGTAATTAATAATTACTTCATGCTACACAAATATCCTTGTGCACACAATAAATATAGAGAGGTATGTAATAAAATATCTTACTTAAAATGTTCCTGTCATTTTTAGAAATATTAACTTATTATTTTAAAATACTATTTAAACATAATCCATGAGTGTTTAAAAATGTTTCTAAATACTAACATTTAAAATAGTTTTTATAAATAATAATAATTTTCTAAAAATAGTACTCCCCTGTCCCATAATGTAAGAATTTTTTTGACACTACACTAGTTTTAAAAAATGTCTTACATTACGGGAGGGAGGGAGTATTTTCTAAATAATAAGTTCATATTTCTAAATATTATAGGAATGTT